TAAATAAACATCCCTTGCTTCATGGTTAAATTTTTAATGTAATATGTTTACGAGAATGTTGATTTACGCATCATTATATGACCTGGTTATTCAATAATGATGTGTAAACATCTGATTTATTGCTTTTACTGGAAAAATATTGCTAGCTGGTTCAAAGTTGAAGCTTGTTAGGGGAAAAAAACTGCAGTTTATGTGCTACACGTGTGTGTGTGTATATCATGAAATTAACCCGAGGATTATCTCAGTTTTTCAGTACCCCTTTTGATAGAAATCATTTATTTTTAGAGTTAGAGAATTGTTTATATAAAAAAAAAAGAGAATAATTTTCCATTAAATGAAAATGATTGTTGAATTAAGTAGTGAGCGGTTAATTGCAAGTTTGCAACTGACAATCTGCTTACATAGATTAAAAGTCAACTCATAAGTACCTTAACGTCAAAATCATATCAAAATCAGAAGATTTTGAACAAGATTTCAGAGGAATCTGAAGAGAACTTAGAGATTTATGAGGAGAAGCTTTTGAATTTCACTTATTTTTCTCAACTGCTTCTTTTCATAAAATCCATAGAGGTTTTGGGGACAACGGCGTAGACGGCATTTGCCATATGACGCCATCTAACGATCATGGGTTCTACTAGCTTATACAAACTTGTACTATTGTATTCCGTACCTCCTAACATGGACGTTCCAATCTTTTTGGAGGCTCTGTTACATCCAAAACTTTTGATTACATTGCATAAATGAGATAACAGATAATATATGTTAAGAACAAAAAATAAATGAATTAGTAGTTGTTGTTCTTGTTTCTTTAGTACCTTCAAAACGAGACTTCATAAGTTTAGACTAAACCTAAAATGATTAACAATCTGAAACTAAACATAAACCATTAATGATTTGAACTTAAAACCAAACGATTAATAGTTTGAACATAAATAATTTCGGCTATACTTTTATAGGTCGATAAAAAGACCCTGAACACATGTAAATTTGGGCCCCAAAATATCGGGGACCCTGTTCAAAATCTCACATTTAACATGCTAAGGGACGGCCCTGCCTCCTAACTCGTGTTATGACTTAATTACCAAACTCATATTCTTTTATGAACTGAATCACAACTAATAATCATTAATAATAATTAATTAATGATTTACATTAAATATGTATAGTTGGGTGTTTGTTATGATCAATAATTATGGCTATTTTTAACGTGTTTGTTTCAATAAAATAAATATTATATATTTATAAAACGTTGGATAAATGAAAATCCAACATTTAACAAATAGATGACGAAAAAAGGTATGGATTTAAAAATTGAGAATAAAATAATAAAATAATTAAAAAAAAAGCAAATAGTAATTAAGCATAATAATCATGTATTATTATTAAAATAAAGATGCTTAAAGCATCAAATAATCCCCAATATTCCAATGATGCATTGATGATGCATGCACCACTTTAAAGTTACTCCTTAATGGATTGGGTTTTGCTAAAAAGCGGTTTGCGTTATCCTTTAAAATAGTAACTTTATTCGGTGACGGATTCAAGTTTTCTTTTTGGTAACGGGAGTGGAATTCGAGTGAAATTTATCAGCACAGGACAAGAACGATAACTTCGGAGTTCGAAAAGTTTTATTAGGGTGAATTATTTTTGATATTATATAAGGGTAATTGACCCTTTGTTCTTGGTGTGGATCTGTCGTTGCTTTTACCGTATCGCTTCGACAAATATTACGGAGAAGGTAAATGACGATGTTCTGAGGTAGGTTGGCAGGATTGGAGTTGACCTCATACGTTGTTGTGGAAAATTCACCACCTTTAAGTTGGATAATTCAACGGGGATTACTTGACAGAATGTTTAAGGAAATTTAAGTCTGATTTACTTTATGGAAAATCGGAAACATTCTTGAATAAACCAGCACTCACGTTGTTGGTAGCGAGAAAGCACCAAAAGGGCGAAAGGACCTTGGTTATATTCGGATAACTTGAAGAGTGAATCATGTATAAATAAGTAACTAGATGGTTCGGTGCAAAATGGTTAAGTGGTCAGAATGATTAAAAGGCTTTCATGATATAGTGTAAAATGAAATAAATTGTTTACAATGAAATTAGAGCGTTGAATGGTTTAGGGATGTCCATTATACAAAATCATTCAGAGGGTTTTAGAACCATTAAGAGACATTTTTTTTTGTCAAACAATATTCAGCTCTTAACGATTCAGAATTTGAAACAAATAACGAGGCAAGTTAGTTTACTAGAGCTTTACCCGAATTTTTATTGAGCTTTCTAACTCATACATACTGTTAATATTTTTGGTTCCAGTTAAAGTAAAAAAATGTTTTTATTGAAAAAAAACTCGATACATATTTTATGCTCTCGTGTACATATGTTCTTTTTTCGAGATGATTTCAAGCTTTTGAATTGTACGATCTTCTTTGAGCTCGAGCTTGCATTAGAAATCTTGACAAGCCATCAGATCAAGTTCATGTTTAGCGTAACATTACTGAGTCGAGCTCGAACTCGGCTCACCTGCATAAATCCTTATTTAGAACTTGGAAGTTGGAACAATATCTAACAAGTATAAGTTACAAGTTACAACCCATGAGTTTGGGCTTAAAACAGGCCTAAAATATATCTATTGGGCTTTTTATAATCAGAGGCCCTATTTATGAGCCAACCATTCTTGTTTCTTAATTAGTGAGCCCAATAATCTATAATTTTTCTAAAATAATAAATTAAAAGTTGAAATTTATGTAAAAAGTTTATATTTAATTTCAACAAATTTCTTAATTTTAGAAATATTGATATTAGTTATATTATTTTAGAATATTATAAGAGGTAATCATCCAAATACATTAAAAAAAACTTTATTGTAAATAATAATACACCCAACCTCATTGGTGAAAAACGTTAAATAATATTTGGGTAAAAAGTTGATTACCGACAGCCCCAACCGTCCTCAGACTCGGGACATTTGTGGCTCATTCAACAGCGGGGTCGAACTCTTTGAAATTAAAATATCTTAAAAAGGGAATAATATTTTTTAGATATTATAATAATATAATTAATGTTGTAATCTATACTGTATCACAATATCAACAAAGATAAGAAAACGAAATATTAAATCAAGATATATTATGCTACATTTGAATCATTGGTCTATTTGGTTTCTAGAATTTGGAAGAAAAAGTCTAATTTACGTCAAATGTGTACAATTAAAAGTCTGTTTGGTTTGCAAGATTGTTTTTGAAATATTTGGATTTCATGGTGGGATTTGGATTGGAATGGATTTGAATCATTGGTTTATTTGGTTTCTAGGATTTAGAATGATTTGATTTCATTATTTATAAATAATTTATAGAAAAAATTATGAATAATTCAAAAATAACTGAATTACATTTTTATTAATCGAGTATTACAAAACAAATGTTTTTAACATTTTTTTAAACCTTATTATATACAATCCTATGAAACCTCGAACACTCCCTAAGGCAACAATAAGGCAAATTGTCCAATGACTTATCTAGTGTCGAGAAGCCAGTGATGATGGCATTGTCTGCGGGATGATAATCTCCTGTCTCAAATTCTTACTTTTCGTTTATATCTACCAATCATATAAGTACATATAATCATAGAGAGAATCTGAACTTGAATATATATATATATATATATATATATATATATATATAAATCTAGCGTATTTTTATTTCATTGGTGGGATAAGGATGAGACATGTGTTTTTAGGACAACAAATTTTTTATCCCTGGTTCAAAGGTGGTGTGTGCCCAATAAAGATTCACAAAGAAACAAGCCCGAAGCCTAGCCTAGGCAACCCGGAAAAGCCTAAGCTCAGGTTAAAGCTCGACCTAAAAAAAACCTAATTAGGCCAACTTTTAATGCCAAATATCGACCCGACCCAACCCAAAACCAGGCCTAGGGTGTAAACGGTACAAGACAACTCGTGAGCTACTCGAGATCGATTGAGTCAAAGCTCGGTTAATACTCGACTCGAATAGGCTCGTTTTCAAACTCGAACTCGGCTCGACATATTAACGAGTCGAGTCAAGCTACCCAATACTCGACTCGAAAAGCTCGTAAGATACCCGATCTTTTTTTATGTAATTAGTTTTATAATATAAATTGTAAAATACAATATAATATGATAAAAATGTCTTACATTTTTTTTTATATTTGAACAAAATTATGCATTTTTTAATTATTTTTAATAAAAAAACAAAGAAACTTTAAAAATGTTGTTGAATTTGTCCTACGTTGGAAGAGAGATGGTAAAAGAAGAATAAAGAAGGGTTATAACAAGGGGGAGGTTGAATGAAATTTGTAACTTTGTCTTTTTGATAATAAAATTTGAGATGCATCCCTTTAATTTTATAAGAATTAAAGGATAACAACTTTAAGTCTTAAAATTTATAAAAGAAGACCCAAAATTCCATAAATTTCAATGGTGAGCTTGGTTTGATTTTGAGTTCGAGCTTCAAACGAGTTTGAGCTCGAGTTTAAAAATTTGCAATCGAGTTTAGTTTTTAACTAATCACGAGTTTTCTACTCGAGTTTGAGCTTGAGAAAAGACTATCGAGTTCAAGTCGAATATATTAATACTTAAGTTCGACTCGCATCATTTGCATCCCTTCCCAGACCTGAAAAAGTCCGAGTTTTTTTTTTTGCTTAGTGCAAAATGTGTTTGAAAGGGTCAAGCCCCAGTATTGTGCATCTCTGTGAAAGATGAGGTAATTATTGACATCATGTTACGAGAGAGTAGAGATCTCATGTTTGTAGGCTTTTTTTTAGTATAGAAGTGTTGTGAAGTGTATGTATAATTGTCTTAAGGTGAGATATTTCGAAATGATACGTCGCACGATGTATCTATATTACGACCACCTCTGTGTTGTATATGAAATCAAGCGGTTATTTTGGATTTCTCGTTTTGTATGATACAGTGTTTGAAAGGTGTTCCGTATGAAAAAGCATGAACTCGGTGATCTTATCAGCTTATGAGTATCATATCTTGTATTTCAAGATTCAATTTTTACATTTTCAATGCATAATTTAACCTAATTCTGCCATAAATATGGATATGCATATAACACCATCCTTTTTCAAGCTGAATTAACATAAAACAATATATCAACTCACCTTATTCTAGAACTTGATCAAAAAGAGATTCCATTACGAAATCCAAACTAAACTTGTGGCCATGAAGGTCCAAATGCGGGGACTCCGGACTATCTGCAAAGCAGGTGGACGTCCTGGGATTAGTCGGCTCGCATAGCGGGTTGGATATCCAGGTTAATAAAAAAAATGCTTACCTAGATAGTGTTTCTTGGGTAAGTGACGCTTAATGTTTACCAATAATTCATTTTGATGGTCGAGAGTGTTATCCGATAAGGTAAATATAAGATTTTGTTATAAGCCCCTAAATGTGTGAGAAAATCCTGATGAAATCTCTAACATGAAATTCAACACCAGCAAGTCAGATTTTATTGAGAAAAGACGGAATTTAGAGCATATCTTCAAGGTCATAGTGAATCAGGGAAGAACAAAATCAGGCTACCAATTATCCAACTGTTCTTCCACAAAAAATCCAATTCGATTTGATGAAATACATTCATATATTCACACAACAAATGAAGATTTCAAGGACAGAATCATACTACACTAATACATTATATGATGTTCTTATTCAACAAGTAATTGAAGTTTTCATAGACATAATCAAGTTGATAGAGATTCAGAAAACATGAAACGATGGGGGAAAACTGAGAGAGAATGAAATCCTCTCTGTAGAAATAAATAGAGATGTAGATTGAACTGCTAACCTAATAATCACGGCGGTTGATTTCACCGGCGGCAACGTGTGATGGTGGAGCAACCTCTGGTGTAAGGACGAACAACTCCTCTAGCTCTCCAACAATCATGAGTATAGTACGACCTGCCAGAGCGCGGCGGACAGGGGACTCTGTTTGCAGAAAGTGCGCCGTAGGAAATGTAATATCCCATCCTCCGCCAGAACAGAGATCTACGAGCGGCGGCGGTAGTGGAGGCATCTCCGTCATCGTCTTCCATTTCGATCTCGTCAATATCAACACCGTCGTACATAGGCATCAACGATGTCGGCCAGTCAAGTTCGTCAGTGGCGAGATGCAACGAAAGCTCCTTGGCGGCATCCAACACCGGTACGTCGGCGCGTGAGATGCGTGTGAGTGATAATAACACCAGAAATAGTACGATCTGCGTGCATAGAAGAAGTGATGGCGCCATGGATGAAGTTAGAGATAATTTGTGTTTGAGATAGAGGGAAAACGAAGGAATTTTGAAGGTTTATGAAGAGAATGCGAGTGGGACCTTGGAGTCACATGGCGGGAGTTGAGCTTACAGCTGGAAAATTTAATGAGTGCCTCTGCGACCATGGACGTAAAAGCCTGAAAAACTGTCTCGATAATGGTGAACATCTGACGTACAAATTATAGACTATTTTGCCGGAGGAGCTGATAATATGGCGGTGATTAGTGAGTAATACGGCGGAATACGGTGGCGGTATTTTAATAGGATTTAGTGGGTGGTGTTCGTAATGATCACGCGCTTGAATGATGTGGTAATCATAAAAGACAAACTACTTTTTTCAATAATGTATTAGATATTATTTTAAATTATTAAATCAATTCTATATGATTTATTACCGTATTTTATTTTTATTATTTTCATGTAAGAAATAAGAGCATAGAAATTTTATGAATAGATATTGTTTAATTTGCTTTGATGGTTCAATTTTTTTTAAACTTTACATTTTTTTTTTTGTGAAGTTTTAGGTGTAAAAAGTGGTCTTACAAAAACAAGATGGTCTCATGTAAACAAAACCTTAGATATATTTATAACGAATAGTAATAAAAAAATACGAGATTTTGATAAATTTTCAAAGAAATTTAAAGACTTCGAGAACATAACGTAAATATTACGCGTTTAATAAGATATGAACATGAATGTATGGGTGAAAAAAACACAACCAAACCGTCTTTGACCAACCTAAACTATAGATCATCTAACCCAATCTATTTAACTTGAAATTTAACTGGTTTATAAAATATACAGACTTACGAGAGTATGGTTAGTTATGAATTAGGTCCATATCAAACTGAACCTAAACGTAAAACCTCAAAAAGTGATATAGACTGAATATATTCTCTTTTAAATGACTCTACTGGACACTTTAATATTTTAACTCCTTACGTAGTCTAGATTCCTACTAATTTAATACCTCAATGAATCTAATTTTTGTGTTTTTTAACCGTAAACAATAAGAAGAAAAAAAACTAAAAGACTTTTGACCTATCGGTATCGTAACATTTGACCTCCTGAGAAGTCAGAGGTTCAAACCTCACCAAAAGTGATGAGGATTTGTGAGTTTATTTGTTGCATTTGCTGTTTATAAATATTATATACCTTAAAAAAACAATTATAAGGAAAAAACTCATTGTTGATTCATAAGTAATTTTAATTCATTGTTCTTATCTTAATATGCATATTGACATTTATGTTTATACAATTTGATATAAACTTTGATAACTGTAATTTTTTGAATGGTTTAAGTATCCGCTATTAATATCTGATTTTTTTAATCTGAAATAATATATTGATCTTTTACAAAATACGATCAAATCGTCCAAACTGATGTGTAATGGACTGGGCTATAAATTTAAAAAAGATTGAATGGTTTATGATCTTTCGAATTCGGGCTATGATATGTATCACTACCTTCTTTTTGCAATTCCTTTTGAAAAATAATGTGAATCTGATTAATAAATTAGCATCTTTTAGGTTATGTCCAAGACTCGCAGGCTATCCCCAAACTGATCTTGATAAGTTGCGACTGTAAGACATCAACCTTGATAAACTTGATGACCAAAATTGTAGTAGACGCCTATAATTGAACCGACAACTAATGGGATGTTCCACCACATCCTCCTTAACCTCAACCAGTGTGCCACTACTCCTGCTGTTTAGAGAAAGGGTACTGAAAGGGTATTTCAAGTAACTAAGTAGTGTTAACAGTCAATTAAGGAGTCGTTTGGCAAACGCTAACTGGATAAGCACACAACGACAAGAGTTATCATTCTCATATACTTTATGAGGTAACATTTTCGTCCATCAAATTGGATTGATGGTAAGCGTTTATAACCTGATAAACTCTTACCCGATAAGAGTCATCACCCTTATTTACCGGGTAAGACTCTCAATCATCGTTTTCCCTTTTACCAGATTAGATTATCGTTTTTTCTATGTTCACCTTATAAGATAATTGAACCGTTAAACGCTTACCAGAGTAAATATCTAGTGAACGACTCCACGAGACACATAATTTATTTAATGAGATAAAAAAAACTAATTTTAGTTTGTTGAATATGGTCTTAATAAATGGTATTTTTATATACTTGGTTACGTCCCAAATCAACGATGTCGGCCAATCAAGTTGGTCATACATAAAAGAGTAAATTACATTTTTAGTCCCTATAATTTGTTAGAAATTATGATTTTTGTCTCTGTGGTTTATAAACTGTAGTTTTCATTCATATAATTTGTAATTTATTGCTATTTTTTTTATCCTTATGATTTATTATTATTTCAGCTATTATGGTTTACAATTCTTTATTGTTTTAGTCTCTTGTATTTTAAAGGTAAGAATTAGTCATCACAATAAATTTTAACCTATAGGGATGAAAATTGTAATTTATAAACCACAAAAATAAAAATCGAAATTAATACACTACATGAACAAAATCGTAATTTACCTACATAAAAAACTCATATGTCCGGGATTCGATTTCAAATGTACACAACAATTGTCGTCTTAACCACAAGGGTGGTGTCTGAGTGGTTTGAGCTTGACTCCAAAGGTCAAAGGTACCAGGAGGTCTCAGATGGAGGAATAAAAATCCCTTTGTGGCCACGGAGGTTTAAATGCGGTGACTCCAAGCTATCTGCAAAGCAGGTGGTCGCCCTTGGGATTAGTCAGCTTACATAGCGGATTGAATATCCAAGTTAATAATATGAAAAAAAAAACAATTGTCGTCTTCAGTTTACCATGGATGATTTCTTGGCCTCAAAATTTACCGAGACACCCTTCTAACAAAATGTTTTCAAGAAAACCAAATTAATTATAATAAAAATTAATTAATTAATACGACAAAAAATACACAAATTTTTTGAAGATTGGGAAAGGGCCAATAACCAAAACAGGCCCACCACAAAAAAGGGGCTGCGTCTTTATCAGGCCCAAAGACAGTGCCGACCAATCCCAATCGTAGGTCATGGCCCACAATCCACACTCTCAACAATATGGGCTCCAAAATTCCCACTCACACACATGATACATATATGATGTATGTATGTATATTTTTGTATGTACATATATGTGATATAAATGTTATAAAACGTCATCATACCATAATCAAAATTCCCTTGTGACCACAGAGGTTCAAATGCGGTGACTTCAGGCTATCTGCAAACCAGGTGGTCGCCCTAGGATTAGTCGGCTCACATAGCAAGTTGGATATCCAGGTTAATAAAAAAAAGTCGTCATACCATAATCAAAATAGATCAAAACTTGTGTTCATATCTATATTAAATATGATTTATTACGGACTGGTGTGTCTGTTTCACAATATACAACTTTAACGGGTCACTGATGAACCATAAAAAACAACCATGCCAGATATTTACCTTAGCATGTGTTTTGGTCAATGTAGGTATTGATTTTGTAAGTGTACATTTGTAATTTTAGGTGAGTGATCGTGTGAAAAACATAAGAAGAAATCTGAACCATTGATCACTTTTAATCTCATGTTCACCCATGAATTGCACGTTAGAAATTTTTTTGATCTGGTGCATCTCGGTGCACATCATTAGTGTTGACATTCAATTAAGATTGATTCGAAGGTAAAGATCTTTTCTTACGCTTCTCAGCATAATTTTCCTTCTCACTGGAACCCAACTCAGGGTCACAACCAAGCTTCCAATTCATCTAGCATAGCTTTTCAAAGTATATTTTGTTTGTCAAATACTTGCCACAAAAAAACCGATAGCCATTTTAAACGAATTGGAAAGTACGTATTAATAGATAAACATAAAAACAAGAAAAATCTCAATAGGTAGTTGATTACATACTTTGCCAAAAAAAGTCTAAATACTCCATGGTGCTTGATGAATCGATCTTGTACTGTAAGACTGAACTGGTGACTCGATGATTAAATTCACGACTTTACAGAAACCAATAGCTCAGACCCAACTCACTTGTGTAGTTCCTGGCTTGAATAAACTAATCAAAACTTAGTAAAAAGCTCCAAAATTTTGAGGTGTAGCTCGATCACCTCGTGGTTACGTAGTGACTTCGTCACTGGACGCAACGATTGCCGAAAAAGTCTCAAGAATATTGGGGATTTTAGTGGCCCAAATCTATTTTGGTACAAACTTTTTGATCCAAAATTTGGCCTTTTTGTGATCATGAAGAGAGTTTTGTAGCTATAATGATAACTTTCTCCAAGTAGAAAAAAAATCAAATTATAAACTTAGGGGTGCCGTAAGTAAACAGGCCCTTACTCGTAGAAATCAATACTATAATTTACCTTGATGAGTAAGATTTTAGTACATCAAAACGTATAAAATGCAACAACTTACCGGGTAAGCACTTACCTGGGTAAGAGTCGTCATCTTCACTTACCGGGTAAGACTCTACATTCTTCTCATCCGATGGGAAAATTTATCCGGTAAGCACTTACCAAGCAAACGTTTAGTAAACGACCCCTTAGTAATGGTTTCATTCCCACCTACTGTATTTTCATGGCCAATATTGATTTCAAACACAACAGTTTTACGATTAATTTCTTGATTTTTTTGGTAACTATGAATCTTCGAAGATAGCAACTAGAAAAATCCTCAACGTGGTCAGAAATAGGGTTGTAATTGAAACAAACGTTCAACAAACCGTTCGATAGGAAGTTCGTTTATTTAATAAATGAACGAACATGAACACATTTCATTGTTTGTTTAGCTATACAAACAAACACGAGCAATGGTCTCGTTGGATAATTTACGTTTGTGAACGTTGGTTAATTTATGTTTGTTAATGTTCTTTAATTTATCTACATACAAATTTAGTATTATGACATTAATATGTAAAATCATTGATTAAATTAATACTTAGAATTCCTTTTTATCTTTTTTATTTTGTTATGTTATTTTTTAGGAACGGAATGATAAGTAAACGGTGGTTATCTTTTGTTCATTTGTGTTTGTTCGGTTACAAATAATTTAATCACGTGTGTAATACAACAAATCATAATCATCCATTAATTTGAAT